AAAAAAATGTCCAACCTGTTCATAGAATTCTTGGCAAATCCGCTCAGTCCATTGCCTGTGTAAGCCATAAGGCTTTGTCGGACTGTTGATATCTGCCATTTTAATAATCATCTTTGCCATAAGAAGCCGATCCGATTCATTAAGAAGCTCCATTTCACTGCTCTGCAAATGTATATAATGTTGTTTTTTTAAAGAAACGGCTGAATAGCATACCTTCTCGTTGAATGTCATTATAATCTCAAAATGTTGCTTGAGATCTGTTGCAAGAATGTACTCCAATACAAGATAACTGAAAATACGAAATTTATGAGCGCTTAGATGAGCAAGCTTTATGAGCATGGTGTAGTCAGTATGTTCGCCCTTAGTCATTTTAGTAAGATAGAAAATCTATCGAGGTGTTTTAAACATTATGACAAATCTTCTTTACTGTCAAGCCGTAAGTAACAAGTAGAACTATGCTCAGCACAAAATTTTAAAAAATTGTATGAGTGAGATTATATAGGAATCAAGGTCATCAGATGCGAATGAAGTGTCATGTAGACTACCAATCTCGAAAAGTACAAATTATTCCCTTCCAATTAGAGCTTTAAAGTAGAAGAAATACTTACAATTAGCAAGTGCCGTTAAAATTATAGAAAAGTACCCCTTCACTTACCGAAACCGTTTCGTTTCCGCAGAGTCCAGGGTCTCAATAAAGTTGTTCTCCTTCAGTTGTAGCAACCTCCAACTTTCAGCAGCGTGATGATTCTCCAATACCGAGCGATCATTATATAGAATCGCCTGCAAAAATCGCATCAAAAGCGAACGGTAATAGGTCGGAAGCCTAGTATAGCCTACTTTTTTGTCTTCCGCTGCGACGAGAAATGCGTTCGTTCGTCCAGGGTGATCATAATCGTGCATAGCAGCTGCTGTGTATAGTGCCATCAACTAAAGAGAAAATGGTCAATATAGAGACGCGGTTCAGATCAAGGAGCCAGCTTACTTCAAGTGTGCTCATACTAGAAGAAATTGGTGCAGCCGGAGGAAGCGGTGGGGGTAGAAGCGAATCCGGTGATGTCGCAGGCCCGATAAGCGGCCGTACCGGATGACAGGTGAGGTAGTAGCAACCGTGAAGAACATCGGCCGCATGAACTCGGTTGTGATCTTGAATTC